TTGGGGGGAAAAAAAATAAATAAAAATTTTAACTGTTACGCTTCAAAAACTGTGATCGCAAAATCAATCATGTTTCCTCTTACAGTAATCACAGCACTAAAATATTACTCACTCTCCGGGGGAGCCGGGGCCGGAGCTGTGAAATGGGCCCTGGCTGCACAATCAATAGAGTCCATTCAAAGTCCTGCCCGGGGCTCCCACCTCCACAGACCACCAACGCGGCTGACACCCACAATAAACGGCCCCATCGTCTTCCTTTAAGCTCTGCGTCACACGGGACTGTACGTGTCAAATCACATTTCCTTTTCCTTTGTTCTATAGATTGGACAACGAAACAAACCCGACTGAATTCAAATAGCGTCCATTTTCTGACCTTTTGTACGTATAAATGTATGTAAGTATGTATGTAGGCCGATGTATTTATTTAGACTCCCAGTCATAAGTTTGAACAGAATAAAATATAGTGAACGAAAAGCAAACTCAAAGCATTAATAGATTTTTAGAAACAGCCTTTACCCTTTTGCTTTGATCACTGCTTTGCACTTTTGGCTTTTCTTGACCCGGAGGCACCGTCGTGAAGTCCAAAAATTTTAGAAGACTTCATTAAGAAGCTCATTGAGGGAACGCCAAGTGTTTGCAGTGCTGCCAAGAAAGCAAAGAGTGGATACTTAGAGGATTTCAATATGTACCGTATTTTTTGGACTACAAATCGTACTTTTTTCATGGTTTGGGTGTTTCCTGCGACTTATACTTCCGGTGCGACTTATATATTAAAATGTTGACAGTGAAGCGGTGAGAGGTTCTAGTCTTGTGTGTGAGTATCTGCTGCTCCTGTTCCTCCTGTACCACTGTCACTTGGCTCTACTGCGCATGTCTCCTGCAGAAAGAGCCTCTGTCCTGTCTGTATCATGTCAGTCGATCGCACCATTACTTCTGCACCACTGAACAATTTAAACAAACTTATAAAGACGACTGAGAAGAATGAACACAAATGCCCCCAAGAACAAAATCAGATTTTGTAGATCACAAACTGCAAGAAGTGAAATCTGCAGCTGAAAACCAGAATCGAGCAGCAGAAAGAAAGTTTTGGAGTGAGAGAGAAACTTGTGACACCGGGAGGATGCACCATGAAACTTTCCTGAAGTCACTGAATGGACAGACAAAGTCTGGACTTCAGTGACACAGAAACCATCCTGTCGGGATTCAGAAAGACCAGAATAATTCTAACTGGAACTGATGCTGAGGAAGCGGTGCTCCTTTTACTTCTGGAGATAGCGGTGTTGCCCAGAAGTGACACCGAGGATGAAGAATTGAATGGATTTAGTGATTTGGAGTGAGATGGAGAGTTTGTTAAACTTGTTCTGTTCTGTTGTTTATGTTATAGTTTATCTGAAGAACTGTTCATATGTGACGTTAACAGTCTGTTTTTCTCTCTTCTATTGTTTTTACTACAACTTGACTTTCAAGATGAAATGCATGAAATGTCGGTTCCTGGTATCAGATTTTATAAAATAAATTTCCCCCCAAAAAGTGTGATTTATAGTGTGAAAAATACATTAAGTGTAAATCTATAGATAGAACAAAAAATACATGGAATGGCGTGTCCTAACTTTTGACTAACTTACAAACACTAACTTTTGATATTGTATTTATTTAGAACAGGAGAGTAGTTTAGTTGTAATCCTTTGTGTAATCCTTTGTGTTGTAATCCTTTTTTTTTTTTTTTTTTTTTATATATTACCATAAGTTGTATTACATGTAGCACTGTGCTGATACTGATATCAGATATCGGTGCTGATACTGAAAAACTAGCTGGATCAAACATTGGCTTCCAAATATCGGTTCAGCTGACACAAAGCTGTTCTGTCAATCCTTAAATACTTAAATAACAGATTTTCAGTCTTTGCTCTGGTATCAGTAGATATCAGGTGTCATCAGAAACTTAAAGTTCAAGTATCAAAATCAGTTTGAGAAGCTGGATTAGTGCATCTCCCATAACACAGCTCTGTGTGATGAGTGAATGTGCCTGAGGATAAAAATACACACGCTTAATGATGTTAAAAAGATAAACTACAATAACCACATCACCTGAAGAGTCACCCTGCCCTCTAGTGGACACTTTGCATACATACAATCCAGTGTAAAGACTGTTTTCATAAATACAACATTTTGGATTAAACTGTGTTCCATGGGAGACATCCACTGTAGTGCAAACAAAGTATAACCAACAAATTATAAAGATGAATGTGAATCTATACAGGCAAGTCCTTCTATTAAGAAACTGCACACTCCCTTGACTTAAATGCAGTTTTGATTGCACATAGGCCTGCATTGTCGCCTGTTTGCAATTTAGTTTTCTTCTTTACCTGTGCTCTCTGAGTTCAACAGACACATGGCTAAAGGCATAAAATAATGTTGAATCTCTTCAGTTTACAGTTTGGGGCCCTGTTGTGTTCTGGTGTTCTGTGCATGTCCCAGGAGGCATCAGAACAGATTCCCGAGCCACCTCAGCTGCTCCTCTGGACGTGGAGGAGCACTGGCCCTACTCCGAGCTCCTCACCCTATCTCTAAGGAAGCGCCCAGCCACCCTGTGGAGGAAACTCTTTATCCATATCTCATGTATCCATGATCTCGTCCTTTTGGTCATTACCCAGAGCTCATGACCAGAGGTGAGGGGAGGAACATAGACTGACGCAAATTTGTCTTTCGGCTCAGCTCCCTCTTCACCACAACGGTCCGATACAGCGACCGCATCACTGCCGACACTGCACCAATCCACCTGTCAATCTCACGCTCTATTCTCCCCTCACAAAACCTTGAGATACTTGACCTCCTCCACTTGAGACAGGAACTCTCCACCCGCCCGGAGAAGACAAGACACCTTTTTCTGTTCAAGAACCAGGACCTTGGATTCGAAGGAGCTGATTCTTATCCCATCACAATTTGATTAAAACACAGAAAAAAAAAAACCTTCACAATGAGTTTTTATTTCAAACTTTTATTCAAAAATTAAAAAGGAACACAACAACATAGAGCTTTGTATTGTCCTACAGTATCTGCTCCACCACTGGTCCAGGAGCTTCGGTGCTGAAAGCGCTACCAGGTGCCAGACGCAGTGGCAGCACAGGCACGTGTGTGGTTCAAATCATAATAAATAAAATAAAGACATTCTATGTATGTACACGCATTCTGTGAAAGAAAATACATGAACACGAGTTTCACTGCACAGACGTATATTTGTTTATGGTGTGTGGCCTCGGCTAGAAACAAAGAGAGTAGAGATTGGCAATTCAAGATCTGAAATGATTCAAATGATTCTAGTGAAGGTGTGTGGAGTTTAAAAACACAGAGGAGCACTTCCTGTATCACCACATGACATCACAAGGTGGAAAAGAGTGTTTTTCGTTTGAGAGAAAAACTAAATATAAAGCCTAAATACGCAGGGTTTATGCAGGGTTTGTGTGTTTGTGTGAATGAATCAAAACATCAGAAAATATCAGAATATGAGCTCTAAAACTCTAAAACGATCTGGCGGTGGAGTATGAAAACATCCACAGGCTTCAGAAAAGTGTTTGTGTGTGTGTAGTTCTCCAGTGTACGAGTGACCCCCCCCAAGTGTTTGCTGATTTTAAGGTTCTAACATTCGCATTACTCAGGCTGTTTTGGGGTTTCTGTATCTGAAAAAGGAAGGTAGTTTGTAACAACCAGAAGAGATAAACACGGTAAAGTAAACAGCAGTGATCTTTTGAAAATTAACTTAAGTTAGACAAATTATAATACATAAATAGGCAATTTATAAAAGAAAAAAAGAATATCAATATATCTTCATCTATATGAAGAAAACTGGGCAATTTTCTCACTTTTCCCAGATTTTACAGCATCTTGATAAGGAAACATTAAATGGACCATATTGAGCTATTTTCTGATCTGTTATAATGTCGTTTCCTCGTGACAAACAGACCTGGAGTTGTGTTTTGTTTCATTCACACTTGTTCTTCACTCGAACGGAAAACACTCAGTTCTACCTTTTGATGTCATGTGGTAATACAGAAAGTGCTCCACTGTGTTTTTAAACTCCACACACCTTCACGAGAATCATTTGGATGATTACAGGCCTGGAAAACTACAGCTACATGGCATCACAAGGTGGAACAGAACAGAGCATTTTGAGTTTTGCAGATGTAGACAAACTAATAAACCAGGATTACTCAAGTGTGAATGAAACAAAACACAACTCCAGGTCTGTTTTGGAGGAGGTAACATGGGTAAAAGCTCACAAGAGTCCATTTTGTGTAATACAGTCGTCCCTCACTATAACGCGGTTCACTTTTCGTGGCCTCGCTGTTTCGTGGATTTTTTTGGTGCAATTTTGCATTTTCGTTTGTGTATGATTTGTTTTGTGTGAACGCGCATTGTGTCCCTCTGATTGGCTGAGGGACTGCAGACCAGCTTGATCAGCTTGATAATTTTACGTAAATGTTCGATCTGTATCAGTGTGATTCTGAAGTGCTGTATGCTTGAAAGATTTTCCCAGACAAAACCCACAATTTCGACGAAACATTTCGCACTGACAAAGGCTCCTACATTCACAACCAAAAGGCAAAGGAAGATGCTAAAGATCGCACAAAAAGTTGGACTTCTGGACACGCTGAAGGAAGGTAGAAGTTACGCGGCTGTAGCAGATTCCTGCAGAGGGTCGAGTATCAGGACTACACCAGAACTACACCAGAACTACCCCAGAACTACACCAGAACTACCCCAGAACTACCCCAGAACTACACCAGAACTACCCAGAAACTACCCCAGAACTACACCAGAACTACCCCAGAACTACCCCAGAACTACACCAGAACTACACCAGAACTACACCAGAACTACCCTAGAACTACACCAGAACTACACCAGAACTACCCCAGAACTACCCAGAACTACACCAGAACTACACCAGAACTACCAGAACTACCCAGAACTACACCAGAACTACACCAGAACTACCCAGAACTACACCAGAACTACCCCAGAACTACACCAGAACTACACCAGAACTACACCAGAACTACCCCAGAACTACCCCAGAACTACACCAGAACTACCCTAGAACTACACCAGAACTACACCAGAACTACCCCAGAACTATCCCAGAACTACACCAGAACTACCCCAGAACTACCCAGAACTATCCCAGAACTACACCAGAACTACACCAGAACTACCCCAGAACTACACCAGAACTACACCAGAACTACACCAGAACTACACCAGAACTACCCAGAACTACACCAGACCTACACCAGGACTAATCCAGGTCTAATCTTGGACTTAAGAGCGAGAACCCCGAGCCCGTGAGAAGGTTGTCCACAAAGCGCAATCAGGCGACGTCTGCTCATACCTCCACGGGTCACGGAGCTCTACGCCGGTCCTTTCGCCTATGGTCACCCGACGGTCTACACGGGTGCACCTCCAAGCCCGTCCCAACAGTGAGTCCTGGTTTAGTCCTAGTTCAGTCCTGGTTTAGTCCTCCTGGTTCAGTCCTGGAACCAGTCTTTGGTTAGTCCTGGGTTAGTCCTAATTTAGTTTTAAGCGGGTGCGGATCTCCAAAAATGGACCCGTGCAGGACTCTGTGCTGTAGGCTCCATTACAGAATAAATTAATCTTTGGTTCGTTACATAAAGAAGGAGGAAAATAACAAAAGGACGACAGCAGCAATAAGTTTTAAGAAGGATGTGTGTTAAGAAGGAAGTGTCCTGTCTGAGAAAAGTGTATAAAGTGTGTGGTTAGGGATATTACAGCCTTAAAACAGATATAATAATTGTAAAAATAAAGCTGACTACTTCGCGGATTTCACCTATTGCGAGTTGTTTTTAGAACTTAACCCACGTGATAAACGAGGGACCACTGTTTAGGAAATTTAAAAGAGCCAGAAGAGTTCAGAGGAGTACATTTTGCATAGTGCGTGACATGGACAGGGTTAGTCGTTTTTTTAGTGGCGTCGCAGGAGTTTGGAGATGAACCCGGGCGCCGTTTTTCTGTGGCTGGACTCTGGACTCTGCTCTTGGGTCAGACCCAGCTCCGCCTCGCACTGCTCCAGCTCCGACTGGTCCAGCAGCTCGAAGTCCTCCACGTCACTGTCCGAATCCTCCAGCGCCATCTCCTTCCCCGCTCTGGCGCTCTCCTGGACGGCGGCGGCGGCGGCGGGGAGGAGGAGGACGGGGGCCAGGGCGGACTCCAGCCTCTCCTGGATCAGAGCGGAGACCAGGTGCCCTCCCAGTTCCGAGAGGGTGATGGCGTCGGAGGGCTGGGCTGTGATTGGCTGACCGGGCTGAGGGGCGGGGATGGCGGGGTACAGGTCCTCCTCGTCGCTGGTGCCGTTCGTCATGTGGCCGTTGTCGAGTGAAGGGAATTCTTCTCTGTCCAGTTCTGGGAAGAAAATGAAACGTGTACAATGAGAATCCAGCTGAAATTATACTTTTTATACAATTTTGGTTACATATATTCTATGACACTGCAAAAAACTAAATCTAGTCAAGTTAAGATGACTTGAATTAAGAAAGTTTTAACATGACTTGAGTAAATTTCACTTGACAAATAAAATGATCTGCCAGTGGACTAAGACTTTTTGTACTTAAAATATGAAAATACATCTTGCTGCACTGAAAAAATAAGAAAAACAACAACTTTTTGCACTTAAAATAAGAAACAAAAATCAAATGTTGCTTGAATTAAGAAAAACACACTTGTTCCATTGGTAGATCATTTTTACAAGTTGAATCGAGTTAAATAAAGTCAAATGTTCTTATTTTAAGTCATTTTAATTTGCAGTATTGATGCACACATAGTTTATTGTTTCACATTTTGCTTATTTTAGTCTGCAATATTGATCTAAAATGATGTATATTAGAAACAGGACCAGTGATGTGATATGATTTGCTGTTGAACTGTACACGTATTGTGTTATTCTGGAAAATTAAGTGGTTAAGACTCAGTGGTTAGACCAGTGATTGATTCTTGCTGAGACCATTTTGTTGTGTCCTTAGGCAAGACACTTTACCCACATAGCCTAGTGAAAAGTTTTTGCTATATAGAATGTATTATTACCATTTATATTTTTGCTCTTTGTTATTATATATTATATTATATTGTGATGTGTGAGCTCCTGTGTCCAAATAATTTCCCTTGTGAATCAATAATTTCTCTTGTCTAAGTCTAAAAAGTGGTGTGTGTGTGTGAGAGAGGTCAGAATAGGCGAGTTTCATTGTTGACAAAAGCGTGCGTTGCATGCTGGGAATTATTTTGGTCGGCGGCAAGAAACACTAATTCAACATGACGGATGGAGCGAGAAAACACGTAAAGATTATTGATCCCGGTTATTTATCCACTCTAACGGCAGAGGACCCAAGACCATTTGACCAGAAATTGGTCATAAGCATCGATGGAGCCAAATCACCCTTTTCAACCCCGACAAAAGTTGGACCAAACCAAATTTCTGGTCAGAATCGCCAACTACCTGGACAAATATTCACTTGGGCGATATCCACAATGACTTGGTGGAAACTCCTGGGCCATTCACAGCAGAAAAGATGAAAACCTCCAAGAGTCTCGATGTGTTGTTGAACTTGTTGGAGTCCACGGTTTGTTAGGATCTTCTGCGTTTGCTCTGTGGATGTTTGAAAGCCGTTTAATTCACCATTATTCCGATAATGCAGCAGGAATTTACCATTATCGGGGATAAATACGCGAGGTTACGCACTGTGTTTGACGCTATCATGTTTCTTGCCTCCGACCAAAATGTTTCCCAGCAGCAACGCGGGCTTTTAATAACAATGACGTCAGCTGAAACTCGCCTATAGCAGCCTTGATTGCATCAGTCTGTCCCAGGGCAGCTGTGGCTTACTGAGTACTGAGTGAATGAAAAACTAGTACAAGGTGATATTATGACTGTTCTTGTGGTCGTACTGGCTCGTCAAAGCCTGATCAGGTCAGATCTCAGAAGCTGGGCAAAGGCTGGGCCTGGTTAGTACCTGAATGAGAGACACTGGGAAAATCAGGAGCCACAGGGGGGCGCCAGTCACAAAAAAACTGTCATTGTGTCATTAGGTAAGACACTTCACCGACATTGCCTAGTATGAAAGTGGAGTGTGTGTGTGAGTGTTGGTGGTGGTCAGAGGGACTGATGGCGCCATTTGGCCTGGCAGCTGTAGCTACAATAGTAGTTTACCACCACCGGGTCTGGAGTGAATAAATAATGCTCTGTAAAGCGTCTTTGTGACAAATGCCTGTAAAAAGCATCAAACCCAGGGGAGTGTGTCGAGTGTGTGGGACCTTCTGATTGGTCGGTGAAGGGGGTGTTTCCTTCTGACTGGGGGGTCTGTCCCTCTGACAGCGTGAAGAGGCCGTCGGTCCAGCTCAGTTCTGAAGGCTCGGTGTCCGACACGCACAGCTCCTTACACTGAGCCGAGTCCAGCTGCAGGACACAAGAGCAGGTCAGCGACAAGGCCGACTGGAGTCCTACTGTAGTCCTGTCCAAGTCCTACTGTAGTCCTACTGTAGTCCTGTTTAAGTCCTACTGTAGTCCTGTCCAAGTCCTGTAGTCCTGTAGTCCTGTTAAGTCCTACTGTAGTCCTGTCTACTGTAGTCCTGTAGTCCTGTTAAGTCCTACTGTAGTCCTGTTTAAGTCCTACTGTAGTCCTGTTTAAGTCCTACTGTAGTCCTACTGTAGTCCTGTTCTAGTCCTACTGTAGTCCGACTGTAGTCCTGTTCTAGTCCTACTGTAGTCCTACTGTAGTCCTGTTCTAGTCCTACTGTAGTCCTGTTCTAGTCCTACTGTAGTCCTGTTCTAGTCCTATTGTAGTCCTCTTCTAGTCCTACTGTAGTCCTACTGTAGTCCTGTTCTAATCCTATTGTAGTCTTACTGTAGTCCTCTTCTAGTCCTACTGTAGTCCAACTGTAGTCCTGTTCTAGTCCTATTGTAGTCCTCTTCTAGTCCTACTGTAGTCCTACTGTAGTCCTGTTCTAATCCTATTGTAGTCTTACTGTAGTCCTGTTCTAGTCCTACTGTAGTCCTCTTCTAGTCCTATTGTAGTCCCACTGTAGTCCTGTTCTAGTCCTACTGTAATCCTATTGTATTCCTGTTTTAGTCCTACTCTAGTCCTACTGTAGTCCTGTTGAAGTCCTACTGTAGTCTTGTTCAAGTCCTATTATAGTCCTCTTCTAGACCTACTGTAGTCCTATTGTAGTCCTATTGTATTCCTGTTTTAGTCCTACTGTAGTCCTCTTCTAGTCCTATTGTAGTCCTGTTCTAGTCGTACTATAGTCCTGCTGTAGTCCTATTGTAGTCCTTGCCCTAGTTCTACTGTAGTCCTGTTCTAGTCCTACTGTAGTCCTGTTCTAGTTCTACTGTAGTCCTGTTCTAGTCCTACTGTAGTCCTGTTCTAGTCCTACTGTAGTCCGACTGTAGTCCTGTTCTAGTCGTACTATAGTCCTGTTCTAGTTCTACTGTAGTCCTGTTCTAGTCCTACTGTAGTCCTGTTCTAGTCCTACTGTAGTCCTGTTGAAGTCCTACTGTAGTCCAACTGTAGCCCTGTTGTAGTCTTGTTCAAGTCCTATTGTAGTCCTGTTCTAGACCTACTGTGGTCCTGTTGTAGTCCTATTGTATTCCTGTTTTAGTCCAACTGTAGTCCTGTTCTAGTCCTACTGTAGTCTTGTTCAAGTCCTACTGTAGTCCAGTTCTAGACCTACTGTAGTCCTGTTGTAGTCCTACTGTAGTATTACTGTAGTCCTGTTCTAGTCCTACTGTAGTCCTATTGTAGTCCTGTTCTAGTCCTGCCCTAGTCCTACTGTAGTCCTGATCTAGTCCTATTGTAGTCCTGTTCTAGTTTCTAGCTGCTTGTGTTCAACCAAGAAGTAAATTGGAAAATTCACCAAAAAAACAAACAAACAAACAAACAAAAACTATGCAAGATTTGTTTGTGCTGGTTCTAAAAGTTGATCCTGCCTAAAGTTTCATGCAGTCCTGCTTCAGTCTAGAATCAATTTTGTGCTATATTAAACATTAAACTTCATGTCAGAGGTGGGACAGACCTTGGGCGTCATGGAGGACAGGTCTGAGTCCGTGTGTCCGGTCTCGGTGTGGGGCTGCTGAGGCTCGGACAGACGCAGCACTGAGGAAAAACAAACACACAAAACCTCAATATGAACGAGTATAATCCAAGAATCACACGCATTTCTGAACATGTTTGTAGAGTCAGAAGTACAGGGTGAGCAGTTTGGTTTCAATTCATGCACATCTGAGTAAACCTTTATCCATGGGTTTCACGATTACAAACATTGGGAGATGTGCACGCAGCTGGGTATTGTATTGTAGCTCTGTACAGTGTCTGATAAAAACCGGTTTTCTATTCGGCAGTTGTAGACGTTTGCGTGGTTTGTGTACTCTTGCTGACACTTTTACAATAACACATCATGTCGTCTTTAGATCTTATTTGTTTAATCTGCTCTCACAATAACATTATAATCTGTAGCGCCTTGTTTTACCGTCACCGTTGTTTATTCACCCGAAATGCTTTGTCATGTCTGAATGTCATGATGTCAAAATTATCCACTGATATCAAATTACGTTTTTACTAGAAATCCATTTATTGTCCTCCATTTGAGGCTTATCTGCTCTGAAAATAGTTCAGTGGAGATTGCCAATTCCAGATCTGAAACCATCCAAATGATTCTAGTGAAGGTGTTTAAAATCACACTGGAGCACTTCCTGTATCACCACATGACATCACAAGGTGGACCAGAGTATTTTCAGTTTGAGAGAAGAACTCAGCTCAAATCTGCAGAGTTTGTGTGTTAAATAAACATGTGTGAACAGTATGTGTGTCTGGATTTGTTGAATTATCGCTGCAAAAAACAAAATCTGGCCAAGTTCAGATGAAAGTTTGATCATGATTTGAGTAAATTTCACTTGACAAGTAAAATGATCTGCCAATGAAACAAGACTTTTTGTTGTTAAAATATGAAAATTACAGACAAGTAACCAGGAGCAGGTGAGTTTTGAACCCCGGCCTCCCAAGTCCTAACGCCAGGAGCTGAGCAGGATCAAGTTTGGTATTTGCAGGAATATACTGGGAAAATACTAAGGCATTGAGCTGTGTCTTTTTTTTTTTTTTCTTTTTTTTTATCAGCCATATCAACAGTGACAAAAAAAAAACACAAGAGAAAAAAAAAGTAGAATTTTTTTTTTTTTTTTTAGATTATTATTATTATTTTTTTTTTTTGTAGAAAATAATTGTTTAGTTTTTTTTTAATTGGTTAAAAAAACTAAACAAAACACTTAGAAAATAGAGCCCAAATGACATGCCTCTTTTTTTTTTTTTTTTTTTTTTCTCTTGCCTCTCATCTTGCTGCACTTAAAATGTAAAAAACAACAACTTTTTGCACTTAAAATAAGAAAACTAAATTGAATGTTGCTTGAATTAAGAAAAACACTCTTATTCCACCTCCATTTGAGGCTTACCTGCTCTGAAAATGTATGTTTTCACTTACCCCCTATCTCCGCCCACTGCTCTGTGTTAATTAATAAGATTATTCCAAAAAAAGTACAGACTTCGGGTTGTACATGTGAGGTTAGAAAATGTCACATTTTTAAACAAACAATCCTCTGCTCGCTACGGTGCAGTGTCACTATGAAAAGGCGGGGCTTCTCAGTTCTGCATTTGAACAGGAAGTCAGTGGACGTGTTTAAAGGTGTTTTAGTATCAGTATCGGCTCTATTTAAGCTTACATCACAAACCAGAAAGACACTGGGAAACCACAACTACAACCAGACTACAACTTCGGGTGTAGTTACTGACAATGGGCTCACTTAACATGGAATCTATGAAGAACCGACTGTGACCAAACCCACTGAAGTAAACGTGATCAGCGGTAAAATGAAGACTGCAGATGTATGTGCTGTTTGGAATCAGCTTGGATTTGGCGTCTCGTCTCTTCTAATCGCGTGAACCCAGGGCGCTCGGAGTTGTGTGTCAGTGGGGAAATGATGAAAACTGAGGTACGGGTGTAATTGCTGATTCACCGAACATAACGGAACACTACAATGATATGGAGATGAGGAAAACTGGGCCACATATTTCCAAACCTCTATAACGTGAATAAAGCCTATTGGAGTTTGGAGGTTTATATTTACCGAGTAATACTAAATACCTGAAAAAGTCCTAATCCTAGTATAAATAGTATAAGATATATAGATATGTATTTACCACAGTATCTGCAACAGTATTCATGATATACTGACCATGAGCATCTCTGATTCTGTGGAGGACGTTCCAGAGACCTTCATCCATCTTGTGCAGGACGGGCTTCAGCCACAGACCCACCTCCAGAGAAGAGAGCAGAGGCCAGAAGAAGATCCCCAGCACTGTGCACACGACAAAACATGACAACACATGAGAAAACACGAAAACACGTTACAATACATACATGAATAATATGTGTATAATATGTAAAATGGACTCCTGTGAGCTTTATGCCATGTTATATGTTGTTACCTCCTCAAAAACAGACCTGGAGTTGTGTTTTGTTTCATTCACATGTTTGAGTAACTCTTTATTAATAGTCTGTGTACATCTCCAAAGCCCAAAACTCTCTGTTCCAACTTCTGATGTCATGTAGTGGTAGTTTTCAAGTTGACATCTCTTTTTAGCAGAGATGGAAATTTCCAGGGCTGAAATTATCCAAATGATTTCTACATGTACGGAGTTTAAAATGTGCATAGTTTAAAAACACAGTAGCGCAGTTTCTGTATTATCACATGACATCACAAAGTGGAACAGAGAGTTTTCTGCCTAAATAATATGCAGGATTTGTGTGTTAAACATGTGAATGAGACAAAACACAACAAAAACACAAGAAAACTTTTAAAACAGACATGTCAAACTCAGGCCCGGGGACCAAATTTGGCCCGCATTATAATTATATTTGGCCCAAATCTGTATTAGAGCTGCCCGCCGAATACAGATAGACTATAGAGACATTATTTATTTAAAATGCTGTTATTGTTTTATATTTTGCTTGTTCTGGATTCAATGTTTAAGCAAAACTATTCTTAAACATTTATTTTAATAAGAACATTTTAAACATTACATATCTCGAAAGGATAGAAAACATGCAGGTCTTGTTGAAATACATTTTTCAATAAATATTTAGTTTGGCCCATGATTTAGTCCCAGTTTTTAATTTTGGCCCCTAAGTTTGACATAACATAATAATAATAATAAAAAACACAACATTTTCAAACACAGAAGAACACAGAAAATGTTTGAACACATTTGAGGGAACAGAACACATTAGAACACTTAAGTACGCATTGCAAATCATAAGAAATTATAACTTTATCTTATCCGTGGAGGTCTTAAAATTTGCCTCAGTTAACCCGATAGAAAATATTAATGAGCCACAGAACACATGGAGACACTTAAAACAGACAGGAACACATTACACTTCGTCACACTTCAGAACACAGCAGACTCCACACAGAGCTCCGCAGGTGCCGTGGGACTCACCTAAAGCGTAGGAGAGCACCACGCCGGGAATGTAACGCCCCAACACGGCCATGAACGTGCACAGGCTGCACATCAGGAGACAGAACTACAACACAGAAACAGAACACGGTCAGGACAGGACACATCACACACTTTTTAGACAAAACCGAAAAAACAAAATGAAGACAGAAACGAAGAAAATTGTTTTTTTTTGTTTTCTTTTTTTTTGGTCTTATTTTGAAAAATTAATGAATGAATGATTCACTGATTCTGCAAGACACAGGCGATACAGAGGAGGGACTCTTTTGTCCTTAGGGCTGTTATTCACCTCAAACTGCCCTGACTCTGAATCTGATGACTTGACCTGCTGCTGCACTGAGAATTTTGTTTGAGCTTTTCTGTTGTTATTGTATTTTACAGCTCATTAACAAAAGTGATGTTGATTTTATTTATTCGGTAGACTAAACATATTACTGTATTTTTCAAACTATAAGTAGCATTTAAAATCCTTTATTTTACTTAAACATTTACTGTGCGCCTTATGTATTCATTCTGGTTGTGCTTTCTGACCTCAAACCGACTTTATGTGGTACACAAAAATCTGTCAAAATGTTTTAGTACGACTTTGGTAAACTACGAAGCCGCACCGCTTGATGGATTGTTGGAGCGTTATGGGTACTGTAGTCAGGAGTCTCGCAGAGTAAAGGGTGAAGTACGTATAAGCAAACTCCCACCGTCGCCTTGTCACAGAGAGAACACTCATATTCCACTGAGTCATGTCCTTTAATCTGACAGAAGCTGAACCGCATCAGCGCACAAGGAGCGAGCAGTTTTTTGAGCACTTATAGTTTATGCAAATGAGCCATGTGGTTTTAAGTTTAGTTTCAGTAAAACGTAAACAAATGTGAACAAAGTTGCATTAAACACATTATTACTCAGTGTATATTTGAGTCGTCCTTGTAGGAAATAAAAAAACAAACTTAAATAATCCACCCACATTCACATTCTTAATACACATCAGAGTCCTGCACGGGTCCATTTTTAGAGTCCCACACCTGCCCTCAACTGCACAGTACAGCACCACACCTGCCCCTTAACCCGTGATTATATCAAAGCTAAACCCGCACCCGCCCAGACCTGCTAACATTCCACCCGTTACCCACCCGTGCCCCTCAATAAATCACTCACAAATTAAAAGCATTCTAACTGACGGCTTCTTCAGTATGAATATGAATTCACGCGACTCGATTGTCATCACTTCACAGGCATTATTTACTGAGCAGAAGAAACACTGATCAAGATGCCACACATGCCACGGACTGAACCAGGACTAAACCGGGACTAAACCAGAACTGAACCAGAACTGAACCAGGACTCAGGACAGGCTTGGAGGTGCGCCTGTGTACACCGTCAGGTGACAACAGGTGAAAAGACCGGCTCAGAGCTCTGCGTCCAACGGTGGTAAGCGCAGCTGTCGCCTGATCGCGCTTTGCGGACACCCTTCTCCACGGTCACAGGGTTCTCTCTCTCTCTCTTAAGATTAGTCCTAGTTTAGACCTGGTTTAGTCCTAGTGTAGTCCTGGTTTAGTCTTGACCCGCCCGTGTGTAATTACTACCCGCCCGTACAATTCCATAACGTTAAAACCCGCCTGTTTCAGCGACTATTTGCCCGTACCCAGTGGGTACCTATGGGTACCCAATCCGGTGCAGGACTCTGATACACATTCAGCAAGACAGGGAGACAACGCTGGGCAAGTTATGCCACAATCTGCCAATGGATTGTGAACACCTGGGCTAAGGGATCAGTCTCAAGTGTCGTCTGTTTGTTTCACTTAATGCACCTTATAATCCGGTATAGTACAAAAAATAAGGTAATAAAGATTTTAACTGTGGTCCTGAATAATCCTGAAGTAGTAGAAGTAGTTGAGTCCTGAAGTAGAAGATGAAGGGCACATCTTGGCCCTGGTTGGCGTATGTCCAGACCCGGTCCTGGGCCTTGGAGTCTTACCTTGCCTGGGCTCTGCTGTCTGAAGGCACATGTCTCTTTGAGCAGCAGCTGGAGCGAAGAGTCCGGCTCCGGCATCACCCCCCACCTAAACACGAGACACAAACACCGGGCAGGGCGGGCGAGGGCGGGCGAGGGCGGGTGAAGGAGGGTGAAGGAGGGTGAAGGAGGGTGAAGGAGGGTGAAGGAGGGTGAGAGGATTGGGACAGACACACGGGGAGAGACAGACACATGAGTGAGCAACAGTGCCTCGAATGTGGGACAGTAACTTTATATATACATATGTAGAACCATAACAACATGGTTCACAGCTCTTTAAAGTCTCCTTTCCCTCGCGCTTGTGGAGTCATTTTAAACCAGTTGAGCTCATGTGTAACCTCCACTTTAAAGGTCCTGCATTACGCAAAACCGACTCTTGTTTCGTCATGAAAAACAGATCTGGAGTGTTTCGTTTCATTCACACGTGTCTGAGTAACACTACAGTCTACATCTCCAAAGCTCAAAATGCTCTGTTCCACCTTGTGACATCATGAACACTGCAAAAAACAATATCAAGGTAAGTTAAAACGGCTCAAATTAAGAACATTTGACTTTATTTGAGCAGACACAACTTGACAAGTACAATTATCTACCAATGAAATAAGTGTTTTTTTCTTAATTCAAGCAATATTTGATTTTATTTTAAGTGCAAAAAGTTGTTGTTTTTCTCATCTTAAGTGTAGCAAGATGTATTTTCATATTTTAAGTACAAAAATTCTTGTTCCGCTGGCAGATCATTTTACTTGTCAAGTGGAATTTACTCAAATCGTGATAAAACTTTCTTACTTCAAGTCATCTTAACTTAACAAGATTTTAGTTTTTGCTGTGAAGTTGTAGTTTTCTAGCCTGATTCATCAGCCGGTTTCACTTTATGGAAACCGTCTGACCTCACAGCATCAGGATTTGTTCACTCGACGGTAGGCGGGTACTTCTTTTATTTAACCAATCGCTGCTATTTGGTCGTGACGTATGTAATGCTCCAAATCCTGTATGAAGAAGGACAATAACGTCTTTCCGCTTGATAAAATTCACCAAACATTCTCTTTGTTCCGGCTTTAAATCCTCGATCTCGGGAATCGTCGCCAACACAGAATGTCTGTCTTCGTCTACATCCATCTCAACGCTTTGTTTACTGTTGTGCTGTTCCACAAAAGAGACCCAGACAGACGCGAACGAGTTTGACGTCATGGATAATCAGCTCTTCTCTGATTGGCCAGTGCACGGTCTACAACTTTCGGGGTTCTTGCAACCCGTCTAGTGCAGGGGTGTCAAACATACAGCCCTGCAAGACCTTTAATCTGGCCCTCGGCTGATTTTCTACTAAAATATTTCATTATATTTTCTATTAAAATCTTGTTAATTTTCTGTGGTGTTTATCACAGCAGCGTCTCCAGCGTCTCTGTACGTGGCCCCTCCCACCAGAGCAGCACAAATGAAGACTTGTCTCTTTCCAAACGCTCTTAAAGGACGATCGTTTTGACTGTTGACCGTGACACCCTCATCAACAAAATGTCCAAAATGAGAAAAGTGGAGCCGAGTGCAGGATTTTCCAAGAAAAATTATCTTATTCCTATTTGTATACAAGTTCATGTTAAAACTTTGTGCTGAATTTGCATTTTTCTTAAAGTTTCAGGTTGTTCATAATATTATAATATTTTGTAAAAGAAAGAGTTCATCAATTAAAAAACATTTCTCTAATAGATTTGTGTTTCTCTGCACAAATATTTGAACTTATTGTTATTTTGGGGGGAAATACACCGTGAGTTTTCTGATCCGGCCCCTTTGGGATCAAAGTAGGTTGGATACGGCCCCTGGACCAAAATGAGTTTGACACCCCTGGTCTACTGTATTTTGATTCTTGACCTAGTCACTGAAGAGAAATGAAATTGAGCGGAGGCACAAGGCGGCGCCAGACTGACTAATAGTTTTCAAGTTAATAACTCCTTTATCATTAGTTCAGTGGAGATTGCCAATTCCAGATCTGAAACCATCCAAATGATTCTAGTGAAGGTGTGTGTTGTTTAAAATCACACTGGAGCACTTCCTGTATCACCACATGACATCACAAGGTAGATCAAAGTGTTTTCAGTTTGAGAGAAGAACTCAGCTCAAATTTGCAGGGTTTTTGTGTTAAATAAACATGTGTGAACAGTATGTGTGTCTGGATTTATTGAATTATCACTGGAAAAAACAAAATCTAGCCAAGTTCAGATGAAAGTTTGATCATGATTTGAGTAAATTTCACTTGACAAGTCAAATGATCTGCCAATGAAACAAGACTTTTTGTTGTTAAAAAAGCTGAAAAAAAAAATTGTAGAAATTAGATTTTTTTTTTTTTTTTTTTTTTAATTGATGAATGCCCCTTTTTTTCTCTCTTGCCTCTCAGGGCTTCCGTAGAAAAACATCTTGCTGCACTTAAAATTTAAAAAACTTTTTGCACTTAAAATAAGAAAACTAAATTGAATGTTGCTTGAATTAAGAAAAACACACTTATTCCATTGGCAGATAATTTTACTTGTCAACTTGAACTATTTCTATTTGAACTCAAATAAAGTAAAATATTCTTAGTTTAATTCATTTTAGCTTAACTAGATATTGTTTTTTTCCAGTGTTGGTGTCTTTTCTTTTTTTTTACTTTGCGCGCCTCTGCACAGATCTGGCCTGTAACTTGGCCCGGTGACCTTCTCTTTCATACGAAGCTAGATTTAAAAGGTTTAAAGTCATCCTGTGGAACATTCTTAGCAAAGCAATAACATCTCCATGGCGACAGGCGGGTGACAGCTGGTGCGGGCAGCTGCCAGGGACAATCCCGCACAGTTGTTTCGGCACCAGGTGCAGCACCGGAGCGAGACAACAATCAAACTGCAGCACGCTGGTCACTCGTGGGGCAGAACGGAGCGCAGGGCATTTAAGGTTCATATGACTTAACTTTTTACATTTTTCTAATCAAGACTTGGAAAACTGTGCTCAATATTTACCAGAGTTTTACATCAGATTAATGGAAGTTTGTTTGAAATTGAAAAGAAAAGAACAAAATACAACAAGTAGCAGTGGGTTCTCGAAAATTCCATCCAAAAGATGCACAAGGAAGGCATTTTTCTGACAATTTAAACCTCTATTTTTAAAAATCCTCATTCATTTGTTTTAATCTAATACAGTTTTAGCCCTTCACTGTAAAAAAAAACAATATCTAGGTAAGTTAAAATGACTTAAATTAAGAACATTTTAACTTTATTTGAGTCGATTCATTCACGATTGACAACTCCAATGGAATTCACACACTTTTTTATTAGTCTGTCTACTTCTCCAAAGCCCAAAATGTTCTGTTCCACCTCGTGATGTCATGAACACCGCAAAAAACGATATCTAGGTAATAGGGATGCAACAATAACTGAAATATCGTGATATCGTATCGTCAAAGTTCTCACAATAATATCGTGGACCATCACAATATATCGAATTGCAAGTAAATGAAGCGTTATAGTGCAGCAATAACTTAAAAAATTCAGAGGGAACTACATAGACCATGATCCTTTGCTCCATTTCAGTGCAGACGACAAGAAGAAATAACAGTTCTAACACTTTAAAGTCTTGTCAAGGAGTTTTAAGAGGAAAAAGAAGCCTATTAACAGTTTTAAATGTTTACTCTCCACAAAATATCACAATTAATATCGTACCGTGAAAATATCGCACCGAGAGATTTGGATATTGTTACATCCCTAATCATGAGCCTCCGCATCATATCGTGAGCTTTCCCACGATATCTCAATAAATATCGTACCGTGACTTTCATGCCGTGACGATATCGTATCGTGAGATTTGGATATCGTTACAGATCTACTATAGCTTGATTCATCAGCCGGTTTCACTTCGTGGAAACCGTCTGACCTCGTAGCATTAGAATTCGTTCACTTGACGGTAGGAGGGTACTTTTTATCATTTAACCAATCGCTACTATTTGTTCGTGACGACTGGCATATTAAGCTTTTCCCAAATCCTGTAGGAAGAAGGACAATAACGTCTTTCCTCTTGATAAAATTCTCCAAACATTCTCTTTGTTCCGGCTTTAAATCCTCGATCTCGGGAATCGTCGCCAACACTGAATATATGTCTCTTCGCTGATTGGCTGGTGCCCGAACTTGCACTTCCAGGGTTTTTGCGAACCGTCTAGTGTATTCTGATTCCTGACCTAGTCACCGAAGAGAAATAAAATTGAGAGGAGGCACTAGGTGGCGCCAGCCTGGCTACCCCTATTAGGTAAGTTAAAATGATTTAAATTTAGAACATTTTAACTTTATTTGAGTCGATTCAACTTGAAAAGTAAAATGATCTACCCATGGAATAAGTTTCTGCTTCTTAATTCAAGCAACATTCAATTAGGTTTCTTATTTTAAGTGCAAAAAACCCGCCTGTCTCCATGGAGATGTTATTGCTTTGCTAAGAATGTTCCACAGGACGACTTTAAACCTTTTAAATCTAGCTTCGTTTGAAAGAAAAGGTCACCGGGCCAAGTTACAGGCCAGATCTGTCCAGAGGCGCGCAAAGTAAAAAAAAGAAAAGACACCAACATTGGTAAAAACAATATCTAGTTAAATTAAAATGAATTAAACTAAGAATATTTTACTTTATTTGAGTAGATTTGACTTGACAAGTAAAATGATCTACTAATGGAATAAGTTTGTGCTTCTTAATTCAAGCAACATGCGATTTTGTTTCTTATTTTAAGTGCAAAAAGTTGTTGTTTTTCTTGTTTTTTTAAGTGAAGCAAGATGTATTTTTATATTTATAAGTACAAAATTCTCATTCCACTGGCAGATAAATTTACTTGTGAAGTGAAATTTACTCAAATCATGACAAATCTTTCTAAATTCAAGTCAGCTTAACTTAAACTTAACATCTTAACCTTCGTTTTATATAATTCTGCTGACTTTTTTGAGTGAAATGAGTTGTCTAATCTGTCAAATACATTTTATCTCTTACATTTAAAAACAAAAGGATTATAAAAACAAACATCCGCCTGCAGACTCCAGGGAGGAATTCCACTGGACC